TCTTGGCTTTACCTGGTCAATATTTTGATGTCCTCTGTGACGCATCTGACTTTGCCATAGTTATCGCTCAGTTACAGACAGATTTTGATGGAAGGGAACGCGTCATCTCGTTTGAGTCCCGACATCTGAAGGCTACAAAAAAGAATTATCATGTTCATTACAAAGAGCTACTTGCAATGAAGTATGCTCTCGTCAAACTCAGAGTTCATCTTCTTGGCTCTAAGCCGTTTGTGATCTATACAGATCATGCGTCATTACGCACTGCGACCCAGTCACCTCACCTCTCCCAGAGTATGGCTCGTTGGTTTTCTTTCTTTGCTGAGTACAGCTTCGAGGTAAAGTATAAGCCGGGCATGCAGAATGCTTTGGATGATGCGTTGTCACGCAGGCCTGACTATGAGCTTGCTCATGTTACGACTCTGTCGTCGTCGGTCACTGACCTAATCCGTACGGCATATGTCAAGGATGAGCTCTGTGTAGCTCTGCAACGTGCTCTAGGGAGAGAGGAGTTTAAGGACTCGGACATAGATTTGTCGGCACGATTACGGGCAAGGCTGCATCGATATTCGATCGATCAAGGCCTGTTGTGCTATAGCACGGGTGTTGAGGATACCCCTCACATCGTTGTCTCATATGATAAGGAGTGAAGTATCGGACACTCAATGAGGCACATGACACTGCGGTTAGTCGTCATCTCGGTCGTGAAAAGACCTATGGCTTAGTTAGCTAATGCTATTGGTGGCCCAAACTATACAAACGGGTGAGCACATATGTGCGTACGTGTGAAACGTGTCAACGGGTGAAACCCTCACCTCACGCGGCCGCACCGCGGGCTAGTTTGCCTGTGCCCAAGGGGTGTTATGAGTCCATCATCATGGACTTCTTGTTTGATTTGCCGAAGGATTCGTATGTGAATACGGGTATTGTGGTCTTTGTTAACCGTTTGAGCAATATGGCTTACTGAACGACGGTGCCGAACTCAATCGATGGTGAAGGTGTAGCTACGATGTTGATCGTTCAAGTGTTTAGACAACACAGTTTGCCTTTGGCAATTTTTTTGAATAGATATTCTAGCTTCGTTGGGAAGTTTTAAAGGTCCAGATTTAAGGTGCTCGTTACACGAATAGACATGTCAAAGCTGATCATCCGCAGACCGATAGTCAAACCGAGTGCGTGAATCGCATTATCATTGACATATTCCGCAGTGGTTGCGTCAAAATGCCGAAACGGTTAGGCCGATGCTTTGGTTTGTTGAGGTTTCGTTGAACAACGCCGTGCATGCCCCCATCGGCTACACACTGTTATATGTAAATGGTCTGACACACCCTCGCGTTCTGTTAACGGTACCACTTCTTGGTTCAGGGGTTAATGGAGGAGGAGTTGTCGATCGGCTTGCTATTATCAGCCCTGCTACTGTTCAAAAACAGGTAAGCGCGTTTTTCGCAACGCAATTAAATGTCGTACGACATGTACGTGACGCACTGGCTGATAGTGAATACATACAAAAGGAACAAGCAGATGCCAAATTCACAGATTGTATTGAACGTTTTGAGGTCGGAGACCAAGTTCTACTCAATTTTAGAACCTTCTTAGCGAATGTTGTATCCGCTGTACTCAAGACAAAGTTGCGTCCGCACTTTATCGGACCATTCACGTTCGTTGCTAATGAGGGACTTGCGTATACGCTCAACATTTCGCGCAAGCGGCCTACATACCTTCTGTTCTACGTTGGCTTGCTTAAGCCGTATCGGTATCCGTCCCACGTGAACTTGGAGGCGCTTGCGCCGCGTAACTTGGCCTTGCTATCGGCTGCTAAATCTAAATAGGAGTGTCAAGCTGGTCCTCCATCCGGTTTTGGCCCAGCTCTACCGTCTGAAGACGAGCTTACGTTTCGTCAAGTGCACTCTGGGTCTTACACCTAAGGTCTCGCGGAGACAGCTTACTTCGTGACGCAGCTTCTCAATCTCTCCCTTCGGTTTATTGACCACCACCGACGCTGATCGATGAGAAAGGGAACAGACACTTCCACGTGGAGAGACTCCTAAAAAGACGTCGTCGTCAGGGTCTAAAACATTATCTGGTGTTGTGGCGAAGGTCCCCGGAGTTGAAAATGTATTCGAAGTTGAGGTATCCCTTCGGCAGGATTACCCATATGCCATAGCTGTTTCTGAAGATTTCGACATGGGTCATTCTGAGACAGAAAGCGCTTGGCACCTATAGTGGTCAAAGCAGGTGGTCTATTTATCATCGCTTAAAACACTCACAACTGCCGGCAGAGCCGAAGCATAGCGGGTGCGAGTTTGCAATTGGCCTCTGGCCTTAAGCTTGGCGTAGTCATACCAAAGCTTCCGATCTAGACTAACGTCCGCCACATCGGAACTTAATCTTAAAGCTACCACTCTGCTGAGGTGTATTTTCAATACACATAGCGAACAAACGCACTATCTTCTTCCTCGTGTCATTCGCTTGCGAAAAGGAGGATAAGTATACACTTGATCGGTTGAACCAGTGCAATCCGTGCTTTCATGTCAAGTCTCGCCTTGTATTGAGTTTGATAAGTCAAATATGGCTGCAGGTACTTCTCGCGAAGTGCCTGTTGACTCGCAACCCGTTCTGGAAAATTTGGGTCCAGTGCCAATGGCCCACGTTGCCAAACGGCCTGCCGTTTGGCGTATACGGTTTTACAATAAATGAAGTGAACACATATCCTCGGCGACTTTTACGGGTTGCAGCAAGCTGCGAATTGCGCCGAGCGCTCTCTGCTAGTTGTAACTACAGTCGCCCATCGAGCGGGATAGTGATGATGACATCGCTCATACTGGGTGTTTGATGCTGCGCCGGGCGCGCGTTAAGTTTGCCACGTTCGTCTAAGGGGTTTGATGCTGTAAGATGCTTTGCCTGAAGAAAAAATGGGTTGGACAGTTTCCCTTCTTGGTGGCGGGCATTGGTAAATTTACCATAGTCCACCTCCCACTCGAGGTCGAGATAAGACTAAAGAGTCCGAGACTCATGGGGTGGCGATGCCATGGTGTGAGGTTTAAACAACCGTGAGGTCAAGCACTTACACCGTCATCTTCGATGAATAATTTTATATTACGGTTCGAGGTAGCGTCAGTCTGAATGGGGGGTGTAACCAGGTGCCACATCGTGTGTGGTTTACACAAGGGACGGGGTCCAATTAAAATGAAAGTAGAACACCATATTAGTTGTTGGGGGCTGACGTGTGTCAGCCACCGAAATACGTGATCTTTTGGGAATGTTAATTAAAACGTTAGAGTCCAAATTAAGTACGTTCTTCTTTCGATAAAAGAAGAAATGGAGTTCAGTTCTCCTTTTGGTCTCTTAAAGACACGTGTTTTTGAGATCGTTAAGAGCCTAGCGTACGCCTTGTTAAGGCAGCTACTCTTAGAGCACTTCGTGCTGTGATTTTCGAAATCGTTTGGTCCCCTGGAACAGGGACCGTAAGCTCTGCGCTTGTTGACTCTCCGAGCCGGGTTCTTTAACCAAAGTTGCTCGTAGAGTGTTTAGTCTTTATCTAACTAAAGTAGCTTTGTAATTCCGCTATACTTGCGACATAAGACAATCTTTCTTATTCGGATTGTATGTATAAATTGTGGTAAAAAGAGACTTAGAGTGCCAATAGAGTTGTTGGTATGAGCAGAACTCAGTCTTGGACTGCACTATTATGCTACGGGTACCTTTGGACGATGCTGATGGTCCACTGACCGAGAAAAACTTGAAAATGACCGACATGACAAGGTCGAAAGCGTGTCGGCTACAGGCTCATTGTTATCGTCGGTGAGGCACTGGGGGCCCGTAAACTATCAAGAGTCAATCAGTGTAAGCGATAAATGGGAGCTTAATGCAGCAGGAATAATCCGTTCAACTTATCGAAGTCTAGCTACAAAGAGCCTGGGTCCTTGAAGTCTTATTGTGCGATAAACACAAATTACGAATGAATGATAAAACGAAGGGCGGAGGCTCATGTTGAGTTCGCACACTTAACCAATTTTGCGATGACATGCACCCAACGCTGCATACTAAATGACTATAGTGTACGGTGCATTAGGATACGGCTGTGTTTGCCAAAACGTTACGAAGTCCTTGTAGTCTAGACGACAAACCCACAAAGCTAGAGACCACTGCTCTTGCATGGTGTTTACTATCAGCCTCTCTATTTCGGTCATTCTTTACCCCTTTTATGAATGACCAGAGCCGGCCGCTCAAATTGACGACAGCAGCCAAAGTATCGCGCCACAGAGACAGAAGGGCAAAAGCAGGAAAGTAGCTGCTGCGACACTACGTCCGTACGCGCATTACACATCACACAAGAGCGATGACAGCATTATTATGACAGCTTTTGCTGCTATAGCTTACCTCCATAGCCCTATCTGTGGTGATGGACAGCAAAGCATGCTGCAGTCCATGAGCGTAACAATTGCTAGGCATGAGGTGACCACGGCTGACAACGATGCAATTGTCGTGTCGAAATCGCCAAACAGGCCAAAGAAGCTCACACCGCGGCCAACACTCGCCCGTACGGACACATATTGCTGAAGAATGATTGCCTGCGTCAATAACGAAGCATTTAAAAGCAACGTTGTACAAGCTTGATGTTTCTTGATCAAGGCGAGCCCAATTTCTGAATCACCCAATTAATGATCAGCGTGGTGATCATGCATTACAGTTCTAAAACATTTCTTACAACGCCACGTGAAGCGATTGAAAGAATTAACGTGGCTGTGACACACTTTTTTAAGCGCAAACTTCCTTCTATCGCTGTGTCAGCTACGACTCCGGATCACAATGCAGCGGCCGTCCTGCTACAGTCTTTTCAAATGAAAGATATATTAAATGTTTTATTGCCAAGTGGGGGTTACATAGGTCCTTAGTTCACACGACGCCCATGCTACTCTAAGCCTACCATGTTCATAGCGACGAAACAAGTCTGACGGATACATTTACTCACTATCACTACCATCTTTTCAGGTCGAACAGCTCTACTCCTCGTTCTTCGCCGTCTTCGCCATCTGCGCCAGCTGTGCTTGTTCTTCCTTCAATCTTTTGCTTCCCGCTTGTATACCTTCTCCGTAGACAACAAGCGGCGAACGGGTAACACGAGCAAAATACGCAATTTTCTCCATAAATTCATCTCTCTCCGCATCCGGTACATTCCAGCCTTGAAACAAGAGGTCTTCTGCTGCCTTGTTATCCAGAGCAAACAGTTTGGCGTCTTTTTGACAAACCTTAACGTATTTGTACCACTCAACTACAAGGGACTGAGCTGAAACGGGCAACTTACCGGATTTCAAATCTAGAAGCTCAAACACTTCTTTAGGGGACAGCTTTAGCTCGGTCCACACTTTCGACATGTCGGTTCTAAAGGCAAAACTTTGTAAGACTTGCACTCGGAGGAGTCGTACTGCATGATCTTTGAACCCCTTCATCCCATGAAGCGAGACAAGCAGGTTCGCCACGTCCTGCTGAGATTTCATCGATAGCAAGACTTTGATCACCTCTTCGTCGTACACGTACGAATCACTTGAATGCATTCGAGCGTTTTGGATCACCAACTGCGCGAAATCGTTGACGTCCATGGTTCCTTTACTCGTCGCGAGATCCCAAAAGCTCTTGGTCCGGGCCAGAGTCTCTGCATCCCAGCCCAATTGTTTCAGTTTGAGATCAAGCGCATGAATAAAATTCACGATTGGCGCTAGTGCCTTCTCCGCTATCGTCCACTCCATCCGCTCCTCGCGATTGATTTCTGTGCGGGAAGTCGCGTCGACCACTGTGTCCTTCAACCTTGATGGACTGTTAGCACTTGACACGGTCCTGGCGTTGTTCAATGGGGCCTGAGGAGGCGAAATGTCCTGGATGGGCTCGGCCTCGTCGATGCGTGTGACAGTCGCATTACGCGCAGGAGAACCTGCCAGTTTGCCGTCGGTTGGCAAGCTTGCAAGAAGGGTGCCGAAGGCCACTAGCAAAAGACAACGACTGCGCATATTACTGTGTGGGTTGCTGACGGCAGATTGCAGAGTGAGCAACGTCAAAGTCGCTTTTTTCGATGACTGTGTATGTATCTTTCACTTGTGGCACTTACGATAAGAACTAGACCTGATTTTTTTGAGGTAGTCCTACAGACCTTGTCACATGGGTGGACACCAGGCGTCAGCGCGTCGTGCATGGACTCCTGCAGTGTTAACGTCCAGCCAGACAGTTGGAGTTCACAGCACGGTCACTACACTGCTTTTCCCTCATTGACGGGAACACCTGGTCGTAAAAATCACGCCTCATCAACAAAAACACGTCCGCCTGGCCGAGTGCTTTTTCTATTGTTGACAGGGTCTCTTACATCAAACTCATTCTTATCGAGGCCCCAGGCATTTGGGTGGACACCAGGCGTCAGCGCGTCGTGCATGAACTCCTGCAGTGTTAACGTCCAGCCAGACAGTTGGAGTTCACAGCACGGTCACTACGCTGCTTTTCCCTCATTGACGGGAACACCTGGTCGTAAAAATCACGCCTCATCAACAAAAAAACGTCCGCCTGGCCGAGTGCTTTTTCTATTGTTGACAGGGTCTCTTACATCAAACTCATTCTTATCGAGGCCCCAGGCATTTGGGTGGACACCAGGCGTCAGCGCGTCGTGCATGGACTCCTGCAGTGTTAACGTCCAGCCGGACAGTTGAAGTTCACAGCACGGTCACTACACTGCTCTTCCTTCATTGACGGGAACACCTGGTCGTAAAAATCACGCCTCATCAACAAAAAAACGTCCGCCTGGCCGAATGCTTTTTCTATTGTTGACAGGGTCTCTTACATCAAACTCATTCTTATCGAGGCCCCAGGCATTTGGGTGGACACCAGGCGTCAGCGCGTCGTGCATGGACTCCTGCAGTGTTAACGTCCAGCCAGACAGTTGGAGTTCACAGCACGGTCACTGCACTGCTTTTTCCCTCATTGACGGGAACACCTGGTCGTAAAAATCACGCCTCATCAACAAAAAAACGTCCACCTGGCCGAGTGCTTTTTCTATTGTTGACAGGTCGCTTACATCAAACTCATTCTTATCGAGGCCGCAGGCATTTGGGTGGACACCAGGCGTCAGCGCGTCGTGCATGGACTCCTGCAGTGTTAACGTCCAGCCAGACAGTTGGAGTTCACAGCACGGTCACTACACTGCTTTTTCCCTCATTGACGGGAACACCTGGTCGTAAAAATCACGCCTCATCAACAAAAAAACGTCCGCCTGGCCGAGTGCTTTTTCTATTGTTGACAGGTCGCTTACATCAAACTCATTCTTATCGAGGCCCTCGGCGTTTAACAAGCTACGGTATACCTCTGGATGAGCTTGTTGGGTGACGTTAGCACCAAAGGTAAGACAATGTCCTGCACATATCAACTAATTGCGAAACAATGAATGCGTGATGAACAATACGAGCACCCTTCTGGACAAATATAGAGCACCGCACGAAATGGAAATTGCTTATATAATCGCGAAAAAAATCAGGCACCTAAACATGGGGAGAACAAGATGTATTTAGGTGCGTCTATTGACAGGTTGAAGTGTGCTAGAATGACTGAAAATGATGAGCTAAGAATTGCGACCTGGAGCAGGGACCAAGAAGTGGGCTTTAGAATAGGCAAATGGCGAGGTAAAGACGTTTATAACCGGTCTGCCCAAGCCAGGGTCATGTGTTTAGGCTATCTCAGTGCATCGTTGCCCGATGCAGTAGGGGGACGGCAAAAGCGTACATTTTAGAGGCCAGATTCCATAGATCGATCGCTGACGCGGTCGACTCCGCGTGTGCGATATTCGCAATGATCATTTTGAATTATATTAATAATTTTTATGCGTCGAGCTTACGCCACGCGCCATAACCGATTGCCGCATTGGTGACCACGATTGATGATTAAGTAGGAATTGTTTAACTGATCCAGGGAAAGGGTAGCAAAGTTTGGCGTGATCCTTTCCTCCCACTCTCATCGCCAAAAAATCTTGCGGTGTGCAGCACGCTAGTGCGCAGCTGCCAAGGAGGTGGCATGGAATAAAGAAGCATGGGCATGCTGGGTGATCTCTCGGCCTGTAGCGTTAAAAGCCGCGGGTTCACGTAATAATGCACTACGTGAAGATGATTACATCGCCATTGTGTTCGTGCGTTCGGACGAGTCGATGATGCATCCGACTCGGCGCTTCGATTTTCGACTGGGCGGCAAAGGCGGTATCGACGGCACCGGCTTGTTGTGACTGCCTAGAAGATTTGCTAGCGCCACGATATTGTTGAATTGTCTGATGACTCCATATAACTTATAAAAAAAACCTCTGTGACAATTTGCCCCCCCAAAACTTTCACCACTGTCGAATATTAAAACTCGATTATGTAAAACCTCTCACACTCCATATGTCACAATTAAGGTCCCTTTCACGAGTAAATCTCAAAACCAGTACCACAAATGTACAAAAGTCCCAAAACTAGTACTATACTCAACTCAAGTATAAAAAACACGCTAAATAGTGTCAACCACATCATACTTAACTGCAACATGGAATAAGAAACTGCTTGATTGCTAGGGATAGGCGAGGCGATAGCAAGTAACTCTTACAATGGCAGTTAGTTAGGCAGGAATTAAGGCAACAACCAAAGCAAATATACATTTTTGGCCCTTTTGCGCCCGGTGCTTACTTATTAAATAGAAACCAGCTACCATCGTTCCTCTATAAAATCGTCTTCTTTTGAAGCCTCGATTAAGGTTGGCAGAATACTGTTGAAGGATTGATTGAAGCAGCTGGCGAGATGCCTTTGGAAACGCGCGCGAGAATAAGCGAAGGGCCCATTCCAAACGGGCCTGCGTACATCGTCAAGTGTTGCTCCTCTTGTGGTGCCATTATCTGATGCTGGTGGTGTTCTAGTGGAGGCAGTTGTAACGGGGCAGCCCGTTACATGGAAATTGTCTTTTGGGAGATAATGACAATAAAGAATATGAAGTTGAATATTCTTTGAACAATATCACCGATAGTGGTGATATTGAAGGGTCGACCAAAGGGTCTGCTCATTGGTTGATATCTTGACGATATCAACCCACCAATCGCCGCAAGACGCGCGCAATGAGTGGGGACGAGACGTCACCATACCCTCAGTTAGATTATTATAATTAAGTCAGGTTAAACAGAGAGACAGTAACAGAAGACTTAATTATATTAATACAACATTTTTACCTTTTTCTTATCTACGCTTCCTCGTTTGCCTCGTGTACGTCTGTCGGGCGCACCAAAACCCTTGCGTTAAGTTCACGCAAGGGTGTGCCCCGTTACACCTGGTAGCACTTTGTAGTCCTTCCAAAGGACCACAGCATCCAACATGAACATGTTGGATGATGAAGAGACCTTTCACGCCGCGCGTGAAGGGTTTACCCATTTGAGTGACATCGAATGGAGTGCGGTAGAACGAATGAGTTCTACCGTAGGCGAGCTCGCCATTAGCACCATGTTGGAGTCTCTAGACAGAGACCAACAATATGCCGCTATAGCCAAGTTCATTCAAAATGAACTTGCCGCCGAAATGGAGAAAGTAGCCTTGCTTCACCAGCAAGGCTCTCAACAGGCCGAGCAGTTGAGAGAACTCGGTGCTCAACAGACAGAGCTGTTGAGACAGCAGCAATTACATGCTGCTGTGGGTGGGACGGCGTATGCGCGTCGTCCCGAAGTCATGAAAGTTGACATCTCCAAGTACAGTGGAGTCCCGGAGGACTCCCTGTTACTATGGTTTGTCGAACTCGACAGAATCTTAAGGGCTCGTCGCGTCGAAGATGATCAAATGAAACTCACATTTGCTCAAACCCACTTGGCAGGACGTGCCAAAACTTGGTCCCTGGGGCTCGAGAGTAGAGACCTAAATGTGTTTAGGTCACTAGATGACTTCAAGTCCCGGGTCAAACAAACGTTTGAGCCGCCACGGGCTGAGTTCAGGGCTCGTTCAGAGCTCCTGAAACTCAAGCAGGGTAAGCGTGATGTGCACGCTGACGCTCAACATATACGACTCCTCGCGAGTAGTATAACTGCTAACCCAGTCCATGAACAGACGTTGATTACGGTGTTCATTCAAGGGCTCGCAGAAGAGCCCGTCAGGAGCCACCTGTTCCGCCTTGAGCTGAATACGCTAGACGAAGCGATATCAGCCGCGGAACAGGAAGACTTTAGCATGAGACAGGCTCATGCTAGCTCAAACTCGTATCGTCCACCGAGACGACAAGAGATCGGAGGTCCAGAACCAATGGACCTCTGCTATGTTGAGAGCGAGAGACCTCGCTCTTGAAACAACAAGCGATTGCAGAAGTGCAATCGCTGTCAGAAGTTAGGGCACTACGCATATGAGTGTAGTGCTCCACGCCCAGTACCAAACAGTACTGAGCGAAATGGACGACCATTTGCCAGAAAGGGCAATGGGCGTGGGTCCAGCGCTGTCGTGAAGCAGCAACAGCGAGACGGACCATCAAAAGATGGACGGGGTCAGTAGGGGCGGAGCGCCCTACTGATCCAGCAACCTCAAGATAATTTGCAAATCTCTTGACGAAAGTTGCTCCAGATACACAATCATTGTGTGTCTCTGCACCTGGTGATGACGTTTCGCTCATCACCTTGAAGTTGGAAGCGACAAATGATTTGTCGCTTCGTGCCCTAGTAGACTGTGGGGCGTCGAACATAGTTGTTCGACGCCAGTCACTAGAGGGTCGTAGGCTCAAGTTCGTTGAGCGCGACATCCCCCTCACGAGAATGACGGTGCGCCTTGCAACAGGCGCATCGATAACCGTTGAGAAACGTGTAGTAGGAATCCACTACACGTTACAGGGCGAACAGTACGATGATGACCTCATCGTACTAGATCTGGATGACAAATTCGATGTCATCCTGGGATTACCTTGGCTCAGAAAGTACGAGCCAAGGGTGAGCTGGCAGCATCGATCCGTGAAGATGACTGCCGCTTGTTCATCAGATGGCCATCTG